GTAAAATAATAATAGTCTGTTTAACTGTACTGGTATATAATTAATATTAAAATGTTGAAACTTGATTAGTGGAAGAGGACTTGATTGGTGGAAGAGGACATGCAGAAAGGTGTTAATGTTTGAGCGCCCTCTGCTGGGAAGAAGTGCCTATAGGCAGCACAGGAGGAGAAATACTCTCTCCACAATCGAGTCTGAACCATTTATAATGGGCAGCATGGAGTGCTGGGGAACTTGATCCATATCCTACATTTGTTGGCTTCCTGTTAACTGGAGTATTCACATTTTCTAATTAAAGTTTATCCTCTGTTACATTTTTAATTCAGGTTAACAGCATCATTGATGGAAAACTTGTCTGATGCTATAATATTTAATCTCACTGGATTAAATGAAACAAGATCACATAAATATGTATTTTTTACTTTTACTTTTCTTTTTTACCTCTTCATCATATTTCTGAATCTGACTCTGATTGCTACAGTCCTCCTGGAGAAATCCCTCCATGAGCCCATGTACATCTTCATCTGTAACTTGAGTATCAACACACTGTATGGAACTGCTGGTTTCTATCCTAAACTCCTGGCTGACTTTCTCTCTGACACTCATGTCATCTCATACACTGGATGTTTGATTCAAGCTTTTGTGATCTACTCTTCTATTTTGTGTGAGTTTTCTAATTTAACTATCATGGCCTATGACAGGTATGTGGCAATATGCAAACCCTTAGAGTATCATTCTATCATGAATATTCTGACAGTTGGAAAATTTGTTTTAATGTTGTGGATTCTTACATTCAGCGAAACAGTGATTCCAATGTTTTTAACTCTCAGACTGTCTTTGTGTGGGTCTCAGATTGACAGACTCTACTGTGACAACTGGTCGATGGTAAAACTGTCCTGTGTGGACACAACTCTCAACAATATCTATGGTTATATTGTAGTAATTGTTCATATCATACAAGCCTTTTTTATTGTATATTCTTACATTGAGATCATTAGAGAGTGTTTAAAGTCCAGTGAAGGCAGAAGTAAGTTTCTACAGACCTGTTTACCCCATTTGATCACATTAATCAACTTCAGTGTCACCACAGTCTTTGATGTGATGTTTGCTAGATATGGCTCTAGAAACACA